ATACACAAATATCGAAAATGCAAAAATTAAATCGGCTGTTTATTTATTATGATTAAATTTTTTTTTTATACAAATTGACTTAAAATTTTTTTTTTTATAAAAAATTATTAACTAAAAAAAATTATTTTTTATATTAAATATATTTAAGTATGAAATATTCATACTAATTATCGTTACAAAAATTACCGTTAAATAAAAATTGGTAAATAATTTAATTTCAACACATTTTATAAAGATATATTTATATTAAAATATTTAATAATAAAAATGAGCAAATATCACGAGATATAAATAAATGATATTTTAACTGGATACAAAAATTCAAATGTTAAATTTAAAAATATATTATCAGCGCGTGAGTTAATAATACTTGGATAAGTTATTATCGCGGATTAACTAAGATACTAAAAGATAATAATTAATTCCATAAGTTTAATAAATATCATACCAGTAATGTCAAGTGTATATGATCCGTATGCATAAATTTGGCGGTAATAATGTACACAAGAAAGGTACCCGAGAGCCAGAGTGAGAACAACTCTGAAATGAAAATAATAAATGTATATTATTTATTTTATTGATTATAATTTTTTATAATTATAATTATAAATCAAAGATTAGCAATAGATAGCATACCTTTGCACACATCTTGGGTCCTGAGTACGCATTGCAATGAAGCATAATGCCGGTAATCCTGCCAAATGAGCAGCTTGTCTAAAAAATTATAATATTATTAATTTAATTAATTATTTATTATTATTATTATTATTATAAATATGCTTGAATCATATCATACTAATAAAACTAATGTCATAAAATTTTTTATTAGAAGGATTTTAAAAATATAAAAGAAAATAAATTATTTTTAAAATTTATAATAATAATAATAATAACTAACAACCTTGCAGTCACTATGTGACTGCCGTGACTTGTGAACTATAAATAAATAAAATTTTGCTTTGTTAAATATTGACTTTTGTTAAATTGCACTGTACTTTTTTAACTATTGATATTTATGAAGATATAAGCTCATCCTGATGTTACACTCATCAAGAGCTTTCATTTGAGTACCCACATGTATTCTTGATATATTTATCATATATTTTATATATATAAATATATAAAATATATGAAAAAGTGATGTGGGTACTCAAATGAAAGGTCTCAATGAGTGTAACTCCAGGATGAGCTCATATCGTTAAAAATATCGTCGGTGAACAAAATACACCGTCATTGCTTTATTGTTCACATTTTTTAAGATATAAGTTCATCTTGATGTTACACTCATCAAGGGCTTTCATTTGAATACCCACATACATTTTTGATATATTTTTCATATATACATATATGTGATATATATAAATATATGAAAAATTGATGTAGGTACTCAAATGAAAGGTCTCGATTAGTGTAACTCCAGGATGATCTTATTTCGTTAAAAATATCATTAGTTTATAAGATACAATGTCATCTCTGAACTATTGACATTTTTAAAGATATAAGCTCATCTTGATGTTACACTTATCAAGAGCTTTCATTTGAGTGCCCGCATGTATTTTTCATATATACATATATATAATATACATAAATATATAAAATATATGAAAAATTGATGTGGGTATTCAAATGAAAGGTCTTGATAAGTGTAACATCGGGATGAGCTTATATCTTTAAAAATGTCAATAGTTCACAAGATATAAAGTCATTTCTTAATTATGTATCTAGAGATAGATACATAGATACCAAATTTAACCATAAAATATAGATTATTATTATTAATATTATGCTTGAATAATTTCATGTTAATAAAATTTATTATTAAAAGAATTTTAAAAATATAAAAAAAAATAAATTATTTTTAAAATTTATAGTAATAATATTTTTTTTTATAAAATAATACATTTACATCACTAAAGAGCTTACTTGCCAAAACAAAAGTATCCCAGAAGAAGTCCAACAACAAGACCAAACAGATGTCGGGTCGCTGGAGCAACAAGACCTGGTTTTAGGAAGACTCTCAAAATTCCGGCGAAAAATAGAGCAGTAAACTGACTCAGGACGAAATTTGTCTGTAAAATATAAACAGAAAAATATTAAAATTAAAATTAACATAAAAAATGATGAATGAAATATGACTAATTATTTTTCTTTAAATTTTGTAAAATATTTTTGAAACCATAAATTTTGTTTAGTATTATATTTTCATTTTTACGGTGCGTTACACGTGACAATCAATATCAGCAGAGGCTCAAACAGACCCTTCCAAATTTTGTTCCATTGATAAATCCTGAGCTTTGTGTATGCACACACACAAACAGTATACAAATGTATGTTAAACGATAAATAGGCAGGAGTGGACACAAACACGGTCATAAATAACATTACAGTTCGAAGGTCTTAAAAATATTTAACACTCACGAAAAACAAGTTTTTTTTTTTTAACTATTATGTCATTAAATTATAAAACAAAATAATCGGCGATTATTTTCAATAATAACACTTTTTTTATATCATTTTTTTAATGTTACTAGACCAATTTTAAATTTTATTTAACAATTAAATCAATTCTAAAAAATTATTTTTAAAAAATTGCATTTTTAATTTATAAAATTTTCTACATGTCAATTTTTTTTTCTTATTTTTTTTAGCGTAATTTATTTGGTAACAATATTTCTAAAAATTATCAAATATCTGCTAAATTAATTTTTATCACTTTTTATGTAATTTATCTTTTAACTTTAAAATTATTATTTATGTTACTCATAAAATATAATAATGTAAGTTTTAATACCATACTATTTTAATATTACCACATTATTAACAGTTAACGCATCAAGTAATTTAACACAATTTTTTTTACCTGCATACAATAAACAATACATAATCCACAATATATATATATATATATATTTATATACATATACATAAATATATATAAATATAAAATGACATCCGAGCTGATGCAATTTTTTTAAAAGCATTCGAGCATAGAGTAATTGTCAGAGGTATGAAGTAAGCACGTGGGTGATC